CACACACACACACACACACACACACACACACACACACACACACACCCCCCAAGACTGGCATGCTAAATCCCCCTGGCATATGTTGGCACGATGGCACCCCGTATGCTCACGTCTGGCACGCGCTGATACACACAAACACACACACACGGTAGTCACAGTAGCCACTGAAGGGGGAGGGACAGAGAAGAGGGGGTGAGAGAGATCAACATGGAGTGCATGTGTTCCACATTATAAATGCATTCACATCTGGGTGGCAGGGTGATGGAAGGGGGATGGGAGCTGATGAGAGACTAAAGTGCACTTCAGAAAAAGGCAGGGATGGACAGATGGCAAGGAAAGGGTAGTATGACAGAAAAGAAAGGAGGAAGCCATGAAGGAGCTGTCAGAGTAAGATGACGCTGACTGCTGAGGTGAGCAGCATATCTAACCTTCACATCCACACCTCTGCACTATGAGGCCTTGTGCCAAATCATAATAGGCAACAGCTTGTCAAAAAACTTCTAAATGGGTCAAAGTGTGATAAAAGGACCGGTCCCTTGATAAAGTAACTGAGTGTTGTGTCTGTCAGAATAGAAAGAACCCTGCCAAAGAGGCCACTAGAACAGCCTGAAATATACTTGAGTAATAATTCATCACAAGTTCATATAAATATCCGCCTCTCATCTCACTTTCATAATGCATCCAATACTTGAAGCCTCTCCATTCCTCTCAAAGTTCTTCTAGGAATAATACTCTCATGCACAGGGTATTTATTGTGTTTATTTCCTTTGACTCGCATCCAACATCCTCATGAGAAAATGCAGGAAAAGCAAGATTTCACAAAGGCAGAGGGCCTTGGGTGTGTCTTTTATGTCAATTACAGCATTTTAATTAAATTTGATCACGGATCAGGCTCAAGATCCCTGAACTTTTGAGAGACTATTTACAATGCCAAAATAGTTTAGAATGGGCTCGTGAGAGCAACAAAAGACACAAAACAAAGATTTGTGCGTGCAAATCAGTCTTCTGTAGTATGTAAAGATATTGTCCAATAAAGTGAAGAATTAGAAAATAGCACTGAGAAAGTCTACTGACCTGGAGTCTGCACCTTCCAGGATGCGCTCAGCCTGGTCACCTATGACTTCCTGTCGCAGATAATACAGCATTCTCACTCTCAGCAGGACCCTGAGGACGAGGAGAACAGAGTTAGCAATGAGGCTTTGTGACGTACTGGTGGAGAGAAAAAAAACTCGTAATGAGGCAACATTTTCAAACCCTCTATTAATTGCTTTTTCCATTATTCAAGTGTTTGATGGGATTTCTGGATCCAAATGCTTCTTCAGTTTTAAAGGAAAACAAACAGAGGCACCAGTGACCGCTATAAACAACCAATATTCCTAGTCTCCCAATGCAATGATATGATGTGAATGACACTGTGAACCCAAGCTCTGAAAGCAAACATAGGATCCAGGCATTAATCAGAGGTGGAGAGGCAACAAAAGCTTGTTTATCAAAAGATGAGATGGTAAGTACTTAAAAAACAAAAAACTCTTTAAACAAGTTAAAACGGCAGCAGATTTTTGGATGGTCTGTGAAGTGAAGGATCATTATAGAATGGCATATCTGCCAAATGGTGGCTAGCGAGGTTTCATTAAGCTAATACATACATGGCAGCATTGACAATGTGCCTACAAAGCTTTAAAATGAGGATTTAAATGCACAGACAGCACTGCAGCCAAGACAGCGTGCACCAAAAGTGCATCACCAACCGAGCATGGATGAAGATACATTTTGTTGTGTGCTATTTTCTAGTAAAAAGCCATCACCTCAACACTCAGTTGGCCTGATAGTGATTTATTTTCAAAACTTTAAATAGCCATTAACAACCATATTAAATGTCATCACAATGCCTCAGTTTCCCATGACATTTTCAAATTGCTTGTTTTTCCTGAACATGAGGCTTCAGATACAAAAATAATGTAAACCCTAGAAAAGAAGCAATAAATATGTGACAAACAAGAACAAGACAATGTCATATAAGATCAAGAAATTAAACTGAATCATCTTCTGTAGTTAACTGGTATTAAATAAAGGATCTTTTAAGAGATTTAGTATGGTTCACATTTTGCGTTACAATGTTCTCTCTTTTGAAAATACAATTCAAATGTTTCAATATAAAATATAGTTCCTATGCATTTGCTACCACTAAGGACAAAATAATTATGGTCATCTCTGGAAAAGAATGAAACGTGTTCCGTATGATAATTAGCTTTGAACGCCTTAACATGTAACATGAATCAGTTTAGCCAAACACTGTGAATCAGATTTGATCTCCTGACACTGGAAATGCTGCTATCTGGGAGATCTGGCTCACTGTAAACATTTGTCACAAGATTTGTCACCAGGATTTAATGCCAGTAAGGATGTTTGGAGCAGGACACAAGGGGAGGACAGCCAGGTTAGGTTGGTTGGTGCAGAGAGGAGATGGATTGAAAGGACTGAGGAATGCTGAAAGGGGAGTTAACGCAAAGTTTGGAGAGGCAGCGAAGAGTGTGTGTGTGTGTGTGTGTGTGTGTGTGT